ATTCTGAATCTTTGTCTTACTGAGTGTGTCATCAAACTGTCATTCTGCTAAGTTTTGGTATCTACTAATTGCTACTTAGAGCTGTGATTCTGCCTTCCACTCTGATATTATCTAGGATTAAATTTTTTTTTAAAAGAAAAATTTTTTTAAAAAGCAATTGGAGCATACGGGTATTAATAAAAATACAGCAACATACTTAACACTATCTACCAGGGATATACTAACTGCCTTAGATGTATTTTCTCATTTAATGCTCACATATTCCTATTATCAGGTCCATTTTCAAATTAGAAAATGGTTTAGCCAAGGTGACTTCAGAGTTCTCAATGTCAAACATGTATTATTGACAGAGTTCAGATTGGAACTAAGATTTTTCTGAGTTTGGGTCGTATTACGCAATGTGTTATAATGTCTTAATATTAAAGGATATTATTCCCAGATGATTCATGTTGCTAATGAGAAGGAGTTATGTGGTGTTGCTAGTCTTGAAGTGACCTTGGGGAACAAAAGCCCCCAACTCATTCTCTTCATCTGTAAGGGGTATCCATGTGAGAAGGTTGGAATGAGGAGAGTGTGTTATGAGGACTGAGAGAAACCTGTGTAGTGAGGAAGGTGTAAGCTGAATAGCAGTAAGTGTTCTGAGAGTGGTCTGGATGGCAATCCACCTCTCCCCTCCCCCGACAGCATCTCAGATGTGGATATGGGAAGGTGTGGTCTGGAGCCCAAGTGTGTGGATTTAATGAGATGCTTTCTGGTAGTTTGGAAGGGAGTTGTCATGGAGACGTTTGGGAGTTACGTCCAAAACCATGAATTTCCACTTGCATTAAAAGACTCCATGTTGACATTTCAGTGGAAATTTATGAGGAGGTGATAGGTTGAGGTCCCTGTCCTGATTTCAAAGGGAATTCAAAGATTGCTGATTCCCTTTTCAGAACCTTGAGTGATTCCAAGGAAGTCTGGTTTAGAACCCCTACTACAGAGCCTACATCAGTATCGGGGTAGTTTGTGGTAGATGTGGTCATGGAGGCAAATCCATTTTTATCCAGGTTGTTCATCTCTTCTATGCTCTACTAACTTTCTTGGGAAAATTTAATTTTAGAAAACTAAGGGCTCTGCTATTCCCCAGACTCCAAGGAACAGCTTTGTCACCATCTACCTCCGCTCAGCCGTTAATGGAACATTAATATATTTTGACATAAAGGGACACAATTGAATTACTCAGCTTTCACTTAATATCTGTGCATTTTATCTTTCCCACCTTCTAGTTCTCTGTTTTCATGTTCTTGCTTGGCCTGTAAAATACCTGTGGGAGAAGGTCCAGGAGAATGATGGCACCATCCAGACTAGACCGTTCCCCCTCCGAGGAAGCCCAGCGGCTGGCCGGAAGGGCCGAGGGTGGTCCCAGCGTGCGCCCTAAACTTCTCCCGCTGTCTGGCAGCAGAAGATGCTACTGCTTACCAGCGGAAGTTTATGTAGGCCAGGGATTTTCAGAATAATGATTATACTGATAGTAGTGAGCGTCTACTGAGCACTTACAATGTGCCAGCCACTTTTCTGTATTCACTCATTTCATCCTCCCAGTATCTCTGAGAAGTGGATCCTGTTCTTACCTCTATATTACCTGTGAGGAAACTGAAGCCCAGGGCTTCCTGATTAACCAGTAGGTGGAAGAAGTGGACTTCACGTCGGGGCAGTCTGACTCAGAGCCTGAAGTTCTTCAGCTCTGCTGAACTGCCTTGTCTTTATGCCAGGATCCAAAAGAATTCAGAGGAGATTTCAATCACAGACCCCATGATTGCCCTAAAATTTGAAGATGGGCCCCAACAGTTGATCCAGGCCAAACATCAGGTACCCTCCTCAGAAGAGTGGGTTCAAGCAAGCTGCTGCTGGTAGGAACGTGGGATGCATTGCAGGTCGTCAGGAACAGATGGGCGCTGACAGTAAGAGAGTGAGTGTTTAAGAAGGTGGGATGGGGGAGAGTGACAAGCAGTTACTGAGTCTCCATTTTCTTGTCTCCTGCCTAGCCAATCGCTCTGGAGGTGAAGTGAGATAATATATTAATTCATTTGGATTCTGGAAAGTTCCATTCAAATGACAGTTCCTGTTGTATGTCCATGGTGCGCCACCTTTAAGGAGGATTGGTGGAGGCTGTGGCTCAGGAGGCAGCAGTGTGTGTCTGGAATTGGTGGGCACCGATGCAAAGCTGGGAGGTGGAAGTATGTGGGCAGGGAGCAGGCACAGGTGGACCGTGAGAAAGGCAGTACACCGTGGTTAGCTAGTGAGGAGCTCCTGGAAGAAAGGAGTACAGGGACTGGTCTATAGTCATTCTCTGAATCCTATTTTCTACTCTACAGCTGCTGCTGGAACCAGGTCTTACTCCCGATGTCTCTACCCACTGGAGAATGCTAGAGCTGAATGTCATTAGACCTACTGCCAACTCAAAATGTATTGAAGTAGAGTTCTTTCCACCTCTGTCCTCTCCCATCTTCCATTAGAGAGTATGGCGGGCCACCACATTCTGTGCTTCCTGCTTCCCTCTTACCTGATATACTTGTGGGGAAATATTTCTTAATTACAATCTTTTCAGGTCACTAGGGTGAACTTGAGAATAAAAGGATCAAACCCCTCTTAATTTCAGGATAAGCATCTGGCACAAACACTGGTCATTCTGTTAATTGCTTAAATTCTTTCCTAACCTCTCCTACCTACTGACGTCTAATACCTAACATTCTTTGCTGTAACTCTTATTTTTACTCTGGTTCTGAGTTATCATTTATTTACATATTGATATAATTTTAAAACCTTTTTCTGAAAATGATGATACTTGATGTAAAATAAGTCCCATCACATAGCGATAACTGCTTGGTATAGCTCGCTGAACATTCTCTCCAGACACTTGTGTACATACACAAATGCTAAAATTCCGCAGTTTACATGAAGGAGATTATTCCAGATTTTTTTTTTCACTCCACAATGTTCCAGTGAGACTTCCCGCTAAACAGTTGTAGATCCACACACTTGTTTGTAATATTTGCCCAGTGTTTTCTTGTTTCAGTGTATAATAGTTTACTTAACTATCCCCCAGCTGATTGCTTATGGATAAGAATCTGAACACCACATAGAGATCATTTGACTTTGTTAATTCAGGCTCTGTGGTTTTGCTGTCAAATCCATGGGATTCTTGGCATCATACAATAAAACAAGCATGAAACTGATGAGTGAAGTCTATAAGACTCTCGCTCCCAGTTCTGCCACTTAGTAGCTCTGTGACCATAAAATCACTTTTCCTTTCTGAACCTCAGCTTCCCTCCCTGTACCTGTGATATTTAAGGCATGTTCTACTAATTCAAAACATGACTTCAAATCCTATTTCCCATCACAACTTATGCCAGTTTTATTTATCATTGCCTGTTCCTGTCCAGCACAATGCCCAATACAAAGTAGACACCCAACAGACACACTTTGAATGGACTAGTCTACTGATTTGTCTTCTCAGAATTTTCCCTCAGAATTATTCATCTTGTCATTTCATATTGGCTTAGTTTTTAACCCAGTGAACCTCAGACATTTTTATTTGTCCACCCTCTCTCTTTAGAATTTATGCACTTGTATCTAAATATCTTCGTGTGGGAGGAGGAAGCGAACTATGTATGAGTACACACATATGTATCCATAGTTGGGTCTATATGTTGTTTGGGGAGTATTAGAATGGGAGTCTACATGGAGGGAGTTAAGTCTGCTTTGCCCTAAGATGAGGTATTAGGCAAGAGAATGAGATTAAAATATTGTTCCCTCCTTCCAGAGTTGCAGTGAAATTGCATGCATGTGTGTGTTTGAGGTGCGGGTGGCAGTATTCTGACAATGTTTTATCCCTCCTTCCTTCCATCTATCTTTTTCTTCTTCCTTCCTACTCTTTCTTCTCTTTCTTTCCTTTTTGCCTCTTCCAGTCCTTCCCTTCTTTACTGAAATGAATAGAAGAGTAATGCTGTTCTTTCTACTTTGGTCAATAGCAACTTTTATCCCACAACACAAGAAAAGAGAAGCAATCCTGTATTTGCTAAAATTATCTGAACCAATGAAGTCTAAGTATAAGGTAATACTGAAGGACAAGTGGGGATTGTGTTACATTAATACATTAAAGAAATGCATTGATCCATAGTGATGATGATGAAAATTAAACTGTTTCACTCAACTAATGCCAGTGATTAAATGATTTGGAAAATATTATGTAAAACCCAAGGACATTCTGTGAGTGGACAGGAGGCTTCAGAAAGCTTGGTGCTGCCCTCTTTTAATTGACATGGGTCCTTCACCGGTTTGCACTGAGTTCTTCTAAAATGAATTACAACTTCATTCCCTTTCTAAAGAAAGTACATTATATATATTTTAAAATTTTTTCATCATTTTGAGGCAGTCAGAATCACCATCACAGGCAGCATTTACTGTCATAAGCTTTGAGAGTTTCTCTCGGACTTTTGGGGTACATAGAGGTATTTTGATCTCAATCCTGTGCTTTCTCAATTCTTGGTCTGCTTTTCAGAGGGTTTTTTTGTTTGTTTTTTGTTCTTGTCTCTTCGGAGGGCCAGACTGCTGTATTTGGCTGAAAGGGGCACATTTTTCTAGAGCAGTTTTTTACAGCTCTATGCTGTGTCTCACTGGTTCAGATCAACTGTGTCTAATTTATTGTGAAACTAAACACATGATCTTATAGAATTCTTAATGACTTAACAGTAAACAGAAAAAGCGTAGCTTCCAGACAGCTTCCAGAAGCTTTTTCTGCCTATTTCCATGTTCTTGCCTAAATTCCAGAAACTTGAGGTTTCTGGAGATACATTCTCCAGATAATGGCCATATTCTGGTAAAGAACCTACAATTCCGGTTTGAATGAGAACTTTTTCTTCCAAGCATGAAGAGACATTATTTCCTTTAGTCCTTCCAGGTGCATGTGACTCTCACTTCCACTCTCTCATTTGTCTGACTACTCGGTTCTTGTTTTGCAGTCCCCAGTCTGTCCCAGACCGCCTGAGGATCCGGGTGAACAAAATCAGTTTACAAGACTATGAAGGATTCCACTATGACAAAGAGAAACTTCGGGAAGCTTGTAAGTTGGAAGTGCCTAGTTGATCTCATGTGATCAGCCTGTCTTCAGCTGCTTGATCCTCCTTGGGTTGATGGATAGATTCGTCTTGTGTCTGAAAACAATGGTTAGGAAAATGAAGGGAAGCATAGTACCATGTGAACCCCAAGAGATGATTTATGGGCTGAAGAAAATGGAGCTGGGCAAAGGAAAACAGCAGAAGAAAATTATTATGCTGAAGAGGCCAAGTTAGGATCTTTTGGTTTATTAACCACTTTAGTCTCAGGTTTAACTAAGATGAGAAAGCAGAAAGTTGGCGAATGTTGTATGGTATCATAATGTCTAGAAAACCCTTGAGACAGCACAAGTTTCTTTCTGGAGTCTACATTACCAAATACTGTCCTCGTTCTTCCTGCAGGTGTCACAAAGTCATCCACAAAGACATGTCCAACACATCTAGCTCTTATGTGATTGCATGAATGTCAGAGGCCCACAGAGTACTCAATGTCATGATAAAGTGATTCACAGATGATGAGGTGACATTGGTCCTGAACTCTTAAATTACTCTACATATGAATACTTCTCAATGTTCATATTTTCCATGTGCTTCTTTAAATGCGTAGCTGATTTTTAGTTCATCTTATCTATCGTTCAGTATTTACTGGGCACTTTTTACGTTCCATTCACTATGTTAGATCCCTGTCTGTACTGTGGTAAATGAGATAACGGGGGTAGGCCAGAAGATGTTAAGACTGCAGGTGTGTTAGATATTAGGGTTTTGGGCTCTGTCTTAATTGTGGAGGCCAGTGATCAAGTGCAGTAAAGTCAGAGAAGATCACGACCAGTATCCAAGGGCACAGGCAGGGATTCCAACAGAACAGAAGGAGTTTGATGGAGAACCAGAGGTTTATAAACTTAAGACCCGAAGCTGGTTCCAATATGGACCTACCTAGAGTTGTGGAAGACACAAAGGGCTAAAACTGGCAGGAACTGAGGAGGGGACACATTCCTGGGTTAATGACTTCCAAGCTCTGATTCTGGACCTGTTATCTGGAATGGGGTTTAATGGATGGAAATCCTGAAATCCACGGTCATTGTCAGGGGTGAGGGCAGAGACTTTTGATCTGGATGTGGCAGTGAGCAAGAGTCATTTCCTTGGCAGTCCAATCACTGAATCCCCCAGAGAATTCTGTGTGAAAGTTCCCCCTCTCAAATCTCTTTGCAGCTTCAGCTGCCTCAGCCCTTCTGGTTCTTTTCCTTAAACAGGGATACCTTCTAGAGCTTCTCCCCTGCCTTCCCCCTCTCTGTTCTTCTCTCTCATTTCCATTGGTGGGAAAGTTTCAAGTGGGGAAGGAGTAATTCCATGAACCTCTGCATTTCTCCCTTCTATACATGACTGATTATATTTTCTAATATAAATGAGATTATAAGTGACAGACTAGCACAAAATCTCATTTAATAATGTGATGGAGACACACATGTTTGTATTGGAAGGTGTAGCTACAGGGTGAGTTAAACTGACTTTTAAAGGCTACTCATTATGAAGAAGAGTGTTTTGTGTACTTTCTCATTCCAAACTTATAGACAAATAGCTTATAATTTTTGAAAACTAAAAAAGAAAGAATGGTTCTCAAGTCAGTTAATGTTTTTCAGCTTCCCTTCAACTCTGAAGGAAGTCAGTTGGGAGTAGGGAAGCATTTGAAATTTGGGGCAGAAATGAGATTTGAGGCTTATCGGTGCATTTCAATTATCTGTTCTATCTTTTCCGTGGCATTATCTGTCCACCATTGCCAGAGGTAACGGTGATTTGAGTTTTTACAAGAAGATGACATTTCCTGGCAAGTGCTTTACTCATCATCTCTTATGTGATAAAACTTCTCTGTAAGGAAACTTCTTATATCAAATTGGAGGAGGTATATATATTGGTATAAATATAAATCCAGGAAATTCAGCAGTGTCTTTGGGTCTCAGAAGGACAAGGACAAACTCAAAGAGGAAATCAAGAAGTTAACTTATTCTAAAGATTTGAGTCTGAAGGAAACAATATAGTAATTAGAAGTAAAGATGGCCAACTCAGGCATTCCACATTTAATATATAATTATGGTGCATATAAACTGTGGTTGCTCAGGGAGCTTTGTCCTTCAAAGTTATACATTTGGTTCTTTCCTTCACTCTCTTACCTGATTCCAGCTTGCAACCAACTACAGATTTTGGGAAGGCCAACAGAGCTCATACGGAGTATAAAGACAAGAACCAGTTCAAGTCCGTACGTGACACACCATACCAAAATAGATCTATTATTTCAGAAGCACTGGTTAAACAAAATGCATAAAACACCTCTAGGTAAAAGGGATTTGAGGACTGCAGTCTGACCCGAATCCCAAAGGGAGTGAATCCTCTTGGGCCGTCTACTGATTGTCAGCATTACAAACCCTGAACCAGACCAGTGGTTCATTACCGGGCTTAAAGAAATCAATGCCCTTTCTGGATGATACACTGAGAGATGCATGCAGCCAGCATGGGGCGGTTTGCCATCGCTGTTTAACAGATCTTGCTCATGTGTCTGGGTCATTATTCGTATTAGATTACAAGCTCGAGTGTTTGTTGTCTAACAAAGCCCCACTTCCGTCTGTAAGGCAGGACTCCTTGGTAATTACAGGATGGCAGCCCTTTTAATTACCTTGCTTATTTTAGCAGAGAGAAAGATGACTACACTATTTCAAAGATTTACCATCCCTTTTCCATTTAGCTCCATCTCGCCTGGGGGCATTCTCCCTAAAATAATAGCATGAAGAGGGTCAGTTTTTCTAGTCCCCAAGCTTGCTGGTCAATTTCAGACTTACTTAAAAGAATTAGGCTCTCATTACTGACTTTATGAATTATTAACCCTCAAGATAATGGTTATGATGTCCAAGAGGAAGGTCTATTCAGCTTTAAAAGGTGGAACATGAAGAGAAATGTTCAAAAAAAATTCCTTAAAGTCCCTAATGATAGCAGAAACTCACTCCCGTAATCGGAATGAGATATATAAGTGAGTCCTTAAGAAAGCATATAATCATATAGTCTAGGCAGAGGGTCATTAGTTTTTGAGAATCTGTTGTATTTGTAATTCCAAAGGAGTTTCATTGATACAATATGTATTTTTATATCTGGAATAACTTGATTCTGGCCAAGATTTAACACTATCCCGTGTAAACGGGCTAAACTTGACTTCTGGCATGAGCTTACTCTGTGCTTTTGAATTGCCCTGATAATTCATACAAGTCTATACTCTAAAACACAAGCAAAAACCAGTTTGGAACTAATTGAAAATAGGTGTAGCCTATAAAGGTAGGAGTGGACGGACTAACATTTGTTGTCTATGAGGTATAGTGTTCAACAACCCTTTAACATTTTCTCAGTGTAAAGGGAGTTATATGGATATTTTTAATTATATGTAATGTATAATATATAATATCTCGGTGTATTATTCTCTGGCAAAGATGAACAATGTTAGGAAATGTGCCTTAGGCAGTTGCTTTAACGGAATTCCAGTCTTTTATTTACTGACATGTTGGAAGAGTCAGAAATGTTTGTGTTTGAATCACAGTTGTAACCTTGACCAAGTCATTCATCTCTCCGATAATGATACCTCTCATCTCTAAAGTGAGACTATCATAGCAGCCTCCCGGACAAAGAGGGCGAAACGTAATCTCATGGAGGAAACCGTTGGGGCCAATTTTGGCACTCTAGCATGCTCCCCAAAAGCGGGAACTTCGATTGGGGTTGCTGTTGCTGAGACACACTATAGACACGCCGGCTGCCCTGCGGTGTGCAGGTCCCAAAGCCAGCTAACCTCCTGCACACATGCCTGTGCCTGCAAAGTACACCTGCTCCCACCTCCCAACTCACATTCTCACTTTCAGAAACAGTGCTGAAAACACTGATAAATACCACAGGAAGGTTAGGGGAAGAGGATGTAATTCACCACTTAATTGACCTGTATTCTGTCTATTGTGAAAGAGACGACTCTGCTGGCAGGATATTTAAACCTGTGAGATGTGTAAACCCTGAATGCCCGCATTTGGTGGTCTGGCCAGATACCTGCACACTGCTCTCTTCAGTCCAAAGACAGTCTCCTATGTGCATCACCTGGTATTCGGCACTGATTTTTTTTTTTTCCAACTTATTTTAGGAGCACCTGGGTAGCTCAGCCAGTGAAGTGTCTGGCTGTTGGTTTCAGCTCAGGTCATGATCTCCGAGTCATGCCTACATCGGGCTCCACGCTCTGCGAGGAATCTGTTTCTCTCCCTCTCCTCTTCCCCTCCTTGTGAGTGCTCTCTTTCTCTCTCTCAAATAAATAAGTAAATTGAGAGGTATCTGGGTGGCTCAGTCAGTTTACCGTCCTACTCCTGGCTTCAGCTGAGGCCATGATCTCACGGTCATGGGATCGAGCCCTGCTGGGGCTCCACACACTGCACAGAGTCCGCTTCAGATTCTTTTTCCCTCCTCCACTGCTTCTCCTCCTGTTCATACTTTCTTTCTCTCTCAAATAAAAAGTAAATAAAATCTTTAAAAATAATATATGTACATCTTTTTAAAAAAACACCCTTATTTATTGAATAATTTAGATTTCTAAAAAAGTTACAGAGATACTGCTGGGATTTCCTATATTCCCTTCACCCAGTTTTCCCTGTTGTTGAACATTTTATATTCCCATGCTACCTTTGTCAAAGAAACTGATAGTGCTTTATTACTATTAACTAAACTCTGGACTTTCTATTCCAGAGTCTAATCTAAGACATCACATGGCATAGGGTTGGCATGTCTTCCCTGTCTCGTCTGGTCTGTGGCACTTTCTGAGACTTTCTTCTTCTTTTTTTTTTTCCCCATGACCTTGATGGTCTTAAGAAATATTGTGGCAACAGAATATCCCTCAATCTGCCCTTGTCTATTGTTCAACTCATAACTAGAATGGAGTTACAGATTCTTGGAAAAAAAGAAGAAGAAGATGGCAGAAGTGAAGTCTCCTTTTTGTCCCATT